CTTTTTTCTGCATTAGATACAGACTTTTAATATTAGATTTAGATCTAACACACAGACAAGTGAACAATATTGCAGTCGCGAATGAACAGTAGCGAAATAAAGCTGACGTTTTACCCGCGTAGGAAGTAATGTTCGAAAATCTCTTTGGTGAGGGCCGTTCAGCACCTTCCTAGTGTAACAGACACGCCGCGTTGAGCGGCATGGAGACAAATGGCGTCCTGGTGGAAGCGTTATGTTCTAGTAAATTCGATAACTGTAACGTTGTTACAGTTAGCTTTTAGATTTAAGTGCAAAAATATTGCAAACAAGACCACCAAATCGTTTCGCAACTCGTGAGAGCCCCGAGTCCTGGTACCGGAAGGGCACACCAAGAACTGCTGCAGAAAACGTCTGGGGCAGGAGGGGAAAAAAATAAAAAATATAAAGAAACTAAATTTTGGGTAACCCTGCTTGGCCAAGCTGGTACCGCCAACTGGAAGGATGGGGACGTTTGTGTCCGTACAAGTCGTGTATGATAGATCGCCCACAGCGCACGCAGATGTAACAAAGCGCGGCATCTATAAAGCGTTTTGCTTTTCTTCGTCTGGCGAAGGGAGCGAGTGTTTTTTGCAGAGGACAGCTTCTGGCGATTGTCGCCCCAAACGCCCGCAGGCTTACGATACAACTGATTTTTCAAACCTAGAGTCTTCTTGCCGCCAAGCATAGTTTCCTTCCCCTCTCATTTGAATCGTCCAACTCCCAGATGCACTCTTGCGGGGTGTCGACTCCAGGCCCACTTTCTCTCCCTTCCTTTTTTTTTTTTTTCAATCCAATATTCGGCCTTATTTCCCGCCTCACCCAGTTCTTGTCCCTCAATCAAGCCGACCCGTCACTTGAGAGAGAATATTCGCTCGAAAAGCCTGTGTCGCTCTGTTTGTTTGTTTTCTTGAAATTGAAGGACCGCCCTTAGCCGGTTCAAGGGGCACTTGCCATCAGTTGATTAATAGATATTCACGTTGTGGGTTTTCCGGGTGGTTTCTTCTATTTCGGGTGGTGAGATGGAGGAGCACAAGCGTGTTCGATCTGGTTAGGAAGTGTCGGGGAAAGATCGCTAGCCGTTTGGAACCCCACACGCAGTGGTCATTTGTACCTTGATCAGTGCTCATTTTGTCGGAGGAATGTTAGCGCAACATTGCTCTACAAGTGTTTCATGAAAGATTCTGCGCGCGCAGTAAAAACCGATTCGACCGACGAGTGGATTGGAGTGGCATTAGAAAACATCTACAAGCTGATTGCAAGGTACGACATATTATTATTGACTTCATATTTGCACGATTTTTATTGCTTCTATCCGATTTCGTGTCATCGAAGAAACTCGAACTTAGGATTGGCTGATTGTGAACTGGCACCATGATTGGATATATACGAGATCTGGACGCCTGCTGTTGTGTTCGCGTATGCCTTATGGTGGTCGAAGTTTCTTGAAGTTCTTCATGGACCAGGTATGTGCTATGTTAAAATTTTGAAAAAGCTTAAGTCGCCCGTAACGTTCCAAAGAAGAGACTCTAAATTTGTTTATCATTTAGTGGATTTACTCGGATACCGCTTCAAATTATTATCTTGTTCAAAGAGCTATTCATGGTAAAAATCGAAATAGGAAGAACCAAACATGTTGATTTTGATTATTAAGAAAGTCTTAGTTTCTCAAAATAATCACTCACTACCGTGAACAACACAATGTCTTATAAGAAATCTACGTCAATTTAAAGGCATACAAAGGAACGTTACTTTTGAATGTTTCCTCGTGTTTCTTTGTGAAGTAACGACGAAGTAACTCCGTTACTTTAGCGATCCAACTGCAACTGTAACGGGTTACTCTTTCAATTCTAGTAACTGTAACTGTAACAGGGTTACTTTTTTGTCTGAGTAACTAACACTGTTACATTTGAGCAGTAACGTGCCCATGACTGCAACTGGGCCAGTTCTTCGGATACCACGATGCGGGCGAGTGCGCACCGAGTTGCTCGCTAAAACGAGCCTTGGAGTCCTCACAAGCAAAGAAACAAAAGGCTATACCGATGCTACACCGGCTACAGATAAAAGCAACGGCTAAACACGCCAATCACCAGCCCAAGTAGCGGCGGTAGCGGCTCAAATAAACGCACTTTACACTGCTCGACCGCGCAACGGGTGCGCCCGTCCGGACCAAAGGACAAAAAAAGAACAAAGAGAACAACCATGACGTCACGGCCCAACGTTGCTTTAGCAATCGGTAACCCGCTGACGACCCGCTAAGGAGCAGCGGGTCGCATTTTTATTATCGGCATCAGTTGAGAATGCGGTGTCCCCTTGACGTAATATGTTGGCTGGGGTCGCCTTTTTTGTCACTTAAGCGATACCAATCATGTATTTCGTTTTGAGTTTTGGCCGGAATTTCTTTTTTAGCAGTTTCCCGTTCCCTCTGATTTTCTGAGTAGTGAAGGTCGGGTCTGGTGTTGTGTCTTCATGTTTCGTATTGGTGGCGTATCTTGTGTTGACCGATTAGTCGTTAATTAAAATTATGTTTGCTCTTTCGTATGTTTCCACTCATTTCTGTCCTCTTATAGAGGTTGTTATCTAGTTCCATATCCGTGTTTGGAGCGTTGAAATTGCCTTATTTAGTGTATGCATGAATAGTCGTCTTCGTCGTTTTTATGGGTTCGTGGTCTGGTATACGTGTTCACTACACTCTAAATGTGATTACTCATGACATGCGGCACAAAAGTGCATCTTTTGTGCCGCTTGATTTATGCGTAATTATGTTACTCATGCGAACGTTACTCATCCCATGAGTAGCAGGACGTTACCCATCCCATGAGCAAAAACGGTTTCCTATGTTTAAAACCTCCTCACCACTCCCCCCCCCCCCCCCCCCTACGTGCGAGGGGGACCAGTGAAAGAGTGGCGAGAAAATTTTCCCGCCTTTGAATGTTTCGTGCAGGCCTGGATTTAAGAGCAGCGCTGATCCCCGAGCTCTTGTGAGGGTGCTACTGGGTTCGGCATGCTGTCAGCTTGCCCACCGGACCTGGGAATTAATATACCTATCATTTAATGATGACGCGTGATCCTCAACCGCAATGATGACGAAATTCTTATAGCTTGCTCTCCAAATAAACTGGAAATGGGGACGCAGCAAGTTGCCTGGCGGTTCGATGGCAACTTTATAGTGAATGCAGAGAAGCGGGATGAAATCTATTCGCCAACAACCTCCCAGGTGCCAGACGGGCTTGCTGGAAGGGCAAAAATAACTGTTTGGCATGAGAAGCAATACTCAACTTGAAAGAACTTTATTCCAAACAAATTTTATCACATCTCGGGATGATATGCTTGTTGCAATTTCTAACTTAGAACTACACCCTATTTTACTCAAACGAACTTTGAAATAAAAGTACTAGAAAATTTCGCAAAGGAGGAAGATCTGTACTCTTGTCAAGAACCAGAATAGCGCACAAATTGTTAAGCTACTTCAAATACTGTTTGCAAGCACTTATCAGGGAGCAGAGGCGAGCTGATTGGTAACCTCTGTCGAACCTTGACCCCCGTTTTACAATGAATGTTTGCAAAAACCCTAAAAGCTGCCCATAGGAAGATGGATAGCTCAAGTTCAAAATATAATAAACACCCAGCAGAAGGACAGACGCCTTGAGGTCGGAGCAGGTGCTTGGTAAGTTGACCACCTGGGGACTGCTTTCGGGACAGAGAACACCCTTTGTTTTGGACCCCAGAAAGGCTTTCGGTCCTGGGCATCCTCTCTCAACTGTCGGAACGTCTTCCTGGAAACAAAGTGCCCAAAGCTCTAATAAAATAGCTGCTACCCATCTTCACGCTCTCACTCTATAGCTGCGCTCAGCGTCAATGTGGGCTTAAATTTAATTATTTTGATTCGAAGTCAGTTAAAGAGCATTGCTTTTTGGGTAGTCAAATGGCCGAGTTATGGGCGGTATTATCACTGAGCAAAAAGCAAAATGTCAGTATGATAGCTTTGAACCCACAGTCTTAAAAAGTATCTACGCGACTATACTTCCCTGCCGAGCACTGGGTAAGTCTATTACCGTGGTCCATGAAAGACATCTGACGAATGACAAAGCCGCAGGTATGCCTAGACATAAAAATGATGTCTCTCATGGGAGACTGAGCATGACTGGACAGGTAAATCGTCGTGCTCAGTATCCCAATGCACACTTCATTTTCACGCTAAGCATATTTGCGATCTTTTGATTCATTGAATTCATTTCGTACATCACGCTGGTTCGTCCACCGAGCACTCTGCGGGAATGTAGTCGCGCAGCTATTTTTAAAACGCAACGAGGATTGTATTAAATTTCATGTCAATGCAAGCCCCCATAAAAAATGCTTGTTCCTAATACCGTGCTTCTAACATGGCCATTACATGAAGCGTTTATCTTATTAGTAAATTTGACTGACCGTGCTCAAAGCATCATCGCGGGATGATCTTGACTGCAGAAAGGCTTGAACGTCCATCAGTGTTGCTTGGCGTATCCCGTGATCCTTGCCGAAGCCCTCCAGTATGCTGGTGCACACGCCTTTCATGCTTGTAAAACTCATGGCGAAGTGCAGCTCGCATTCTGCCAGCAGCTATCCAAGAGAGTAGACAAAGTTCATTCTTACGGTAAACATAGTCAACAATGCTCTAAAAAGAGCAGCCTGTATGATTTGGTCGGCGTGCGTACTAGAATGAAATACAAAATGCTCACTTACGCATTCAGCATTCAAGAAGTAGACTGGAAGTTTGTCCAAGACGGTGCCTTTCCTCTCTTCAAATGTCACTTTGAGGAGCTTGACTACATATGGCACATTTACTGAGGCTGAGCACTTGACAGCAGAGTCGATGGACTGAAAGAGAGAGGGGGGTGTGAGGCATTGAATGCTGGAATGCACATAAGAGAGCCAGAAGACAAATTTACCTCCAGTTCCTTGAGAGCATCTGGGGTGGACTGCTGCGCTAGAGTGTCTCCATCATACTGATCCGCTCCATTGTTTGCCTGCGCCTTGTCTTTTTTTTCTCGTGCGTACCTCATCTTTCGCCTCGCTGTTAACCGGCACATGAATACACTCTGCCAGAAGTCAAAACAGATGTTTTAGGAACCCTCCCTGATACCATTCGAAGCACGGGGCAGTGGTAATTAAACAGTTGAAAATGTATTTACCCAGAGACGTGTCTGTCTCGTTGAGAGCTTGGTCCCAGGTTTCGGTTGGTCCCAAAGCATGTCCGGGTATTTTTGTGCCAAAGTTGACCCAAGCAATGAATATTGCACTCTTCTAAGTGCCGTATTGGCCTCCTTAACGAGATTGTTTTCACTGTACGAAAAGAAGTGCAGCAACACTAGAACACTTTTCTTTAACAGCTTTGCAATATCAAACTTGTAACCAATAAATACGGCACATGAATCCGGTGATCAATAATTTCGGTGATCGATACATACGGAAATACAGCAAATGAATTATTTCTTCATCACCCACCCCCCTTCCCCCTTGCTCAAGAATTATTTACCCTTTTTCCTTTTCCTACGCTCGAAGAAACGCTTGAAAAGACAACGGAGTTCGGACACTGCTGACATACAACATAATGTGAATGCTGAACTCAACCACACCCCACACGCTGCCTTCGACTGAACTCAACCACACCCCGACGCAAGGCATAACCACGGACGTCGGAACTGTCGGGACTGGAACCACTGAATGTAGGCGACTCTCCGTGCACTGATGGAGAAATTTACGAGGCCTGTGCCCGACCCCACTTCCAGGAAGAACATAGCAGCTTGATTTCGGTTCTGTGTACAGTGCTGGGCCGCCATGACGTTTCTAAAAGTCATGGCCCTGCTATAGACGCTTTGCAGCACCTGTGCGTGGGCGCCGCCATAACCGACCTTTAGTTTTTGTTTCCTCTTATTTTGATCACTTTGCCCCATCCTTACCATAGCAGGTCAGCTTATTTTCATTTTAGGTCGAACTGTGTCTTTCTCCCCTGCGTTGTCCTTTGTGGAGGTTCGTGAAAGCCCGCTTGAGTGGCTTGGCGTCTCGGTAAGACAAGAGAAGGTCGGCAATGGCGGCTGTAATCGGGCGCGTGTGTAAAGCGTCTATATATTGCAACGCAGCGCACTCCGACGCGCGCGCGCCATCGCTACGTCACGCTAGCAAGCCGCCGGTAGACGACGAAGCACGCTGGCTGCACCGAGGCGCCGGACTATAGACCGTTTTACTGAAAGAGGGCGAGAGAGAAAAGGGGAAAGGAATACCGGCGCTTTCCTCCTTTCTGATTGTGTAGAAAGAGCGAAAGTCCCGGATGAGAGGCTTTGCCAGTGTTGGACGTCTGCTGTGCCCGAACTTCGTTCGCGCTTCCTTTCCTGTTTTAAACTCGCAAACTTAATTAGAGCCAGAGGCTTTGATGGCAACAGTCTTCCGGTCATCGGGACACCATTGCTGGGTCATAGGGTGCACGAATAAAAACAGAAAGCGTAGAATACTGTCCGAGGATATATGTAGCTTGCAAGGAAACCCGCAAGGCGAGAGCGGCTGCAATGTCTTTGAGCTCCATCGTTTTCCACACGACCCCTGTCTCCGGCGGCAGTGGATTGCGTCCGTAAACCGAAAAGGCGTTTCCTCAACGCCATCCTCTCGACTTCGCTCGGAACATTTCGTGAATGGAGCGCGCACCGAACGCTGTACCGCCGATGAACATGGGGTACGCTCGCAATGTGCGTGCGAGTTTTCTCATGATAACTGCTGTTTCAGCTTGTAAAATTTCGTAACTGAATTTATCTTAATAGTGATAATTTGCAGTGCTGACTGACTCAATTTTATCATCTACAACACTTAGTTGAAGGCTCATTTCCGCCGCCGGGTGAGGCTGGAAATTAATGAAAACGTAGACCTTTTGTTTGTTTGTTTGTTTTTTAATCGCGATCTCCTGCGCGAGACCAGAGTGCCGGCAAAAGCGCTCCTTGAAGTGCCGCTGGTGGGTTGTTTCCGTTGACTAAGGCGCTTTTAGGCGCTTGATAGTCGCTGCAGGAACGTCTCGTGTGTTGCGATCTGCGTTTCGAGCCCAGTGTGCACGTTTCTTTGTTTGAGTCATGGCATCCGCCAGCGATAGAAATTGGAGGTGAGTACTCAAAATAGTGCATCAAATAGTAAAATAATTCGTGGCTGCTTCGAGGCTTTCTGCGGTTCGATAAAAGTACATCTAGGGGTCTTCGTCGTTCATTCACAAGGAGATATAAGAACAGGGACACGAAGATAAAAACAGCACAGCAAGACGATATGTAGCAGCTCCGGGCGTTTACAAAGTTAATTGCGGTTCCCATTTCGTGTATCGCTTGTTGATTACAACTAAAAGCGGCTACGTTGAAATAGGCCCATTGCAAGCAAAAATGTATAAATGATTCATCATTTCCAGTCATGCGGAAAGCAATTGAGCTTAAAAACATTCCAGCCGTACTTGCCTTGCCGGATTCCATGCAAGCTACATAGGTCCTCGGACAGTATTCGACGCTTTCTGTCATTATTCGTGCACCCTATCACCCAGCAATGGTGTCCCGATGACCGGGGACTGTCGCCATTGAAGACCATGGCTCTAATTAAGTTTGGGAGTTTGAAATGTAGAAGAAAGCGCGAACGAAGTTGGGGCACTGCAGACGCCCAACACCGGCCAAGCCTCCTCATCCGGGACTTTCACTCTTTCTACACAATCAGAAAGGGGGAAAGCGCCGGTAGCCCTTTCCCCTTTTCTCTCTCGCTCTCAAAATGGCGCTACCCACGATAAAACGGTCTATAGACTGCTTGGCTTTCGCCAGCGTGTCGTGACGATGCCGACGGAGCGCGCTGAGTCGGCTCTTCGCGCTGCGTAGGCACGACAGATCAAGAAGTTTGAGGTCTAACCAAAACCAGCCAAAAGAATAGCGAAACAGATGAGGCGAAAGCGTCGTCACTGAGCTCGAAAAAGCCACTCGTGCTCCTAATGGAAATAAGTACATCGGGAGCGCACTCGGGTTTCGGTCGCCGAAGGTACTCCTGTCCGCTCAGTGAATCGTGCGCCGGCCGAACGCGCGCGCTCCGGGACAGAGTCTGAGCGCAGCAACGTGAGACGCGGTCAAGACCAGCCCTGTTTCCACAAACTGACTCACCTAAAGTCCCGTGCTGTGCTGGTGGATGGCCACAAATCAAGCACAACCGGCCGGACAGTCCGCATATCCAAATGCGTCCTCACGGGTCACAAAAGCCCCACACGAGCAGTCCAGGGACGCGCAGGAGCCGCGAGTGGTGCCGCCGAGGTCGGTGTTCGTTAGGCCTGGCCTAACTGACATTGTACAGGCTGCCTTGTCAGAGGAGTGTCTGTATGGATATACCGAGGTCAGAATAACAAAAGCGAATCCAAGGATTATGCCGCTTCGTACTCACCTTTCTTGAAAAAGTTATGCCCGCCGCAGCGGTCCCCGGTCTCCAAAATTTATAGCAAACAAACGTCCCCTTCTCGGAGAGTTTCGCTTCCCGGCACCCGTGTTATTTTCTTTATTTTATTTTTTGCTTCCATGGCTGCTCTTTGCTCGTAGACGACTTTTCGCGAAACGCTAGATTTAGCGGCATTACATTTTGCAGGTCTTCGTGGTCCGCATGAGGAACAATGCGAAAGCATGGGTAACGATTCGCGAGTGAAGCGCTTCGTTACCCATGAAGCTCTCGTTTTTCACGTGTTACTCATGAGGCAGCTATCTATGCCAGGGCTTCGGAAATAAATCACAGAAAGAGGTTTGATTTTGTTACTCATTGCCATGAGTAACAGTGTGCGCATCAGTAACAACATGAGTAACCTGATTTAGAGTGTAGTATGATTCTTTTGAAGTCTACCTCCGCTCGGACTGGTACGAATTCTTGGGAGCTATTGAACCACTTACTGGTGTCTATCTGTGTGACGGCCAACTCCTCGACAGGGTATACACCGGGCATACGCTTTTAGCACTACCTTGCGCCTCTGTTTGTATTGGATAGGCGGTGCGAAAAATTTCTTGTATCCACTTAATGTGTCTGTGTCACTCTTCGTTTCTTGTATTACTATGATATCGTTTGGGTTTTGTGCTTTTGTTTTCAGCCCCCTACAATTCCATTGTAGGATTGTTAAGAACCGCTCTTCTTTGACTTTTTCCACTGAAATGCAGCTCCAGATCACCTCATTGATGGCGCCAGTGTGCCACTGGTGTTCTCTCGCCGTAAGACTCCACAAGAGCTCGACTCTAAGCAAACGCAGGTATGTCAACGGACCATTAGGTGTCCATCGATGGTGAAGGGTGCATTCTAAGGTAGTCACTCCTGTGGTGCTACAGGACGGTCATGCAGTTGTGGCAGTATAACAGTGTATGATTACGTTACAAAGATAATTGCACCTGGTAGGTTTAGTGACCTGTAATTCGTGACTGTGGTATCCAATCAAGGTTTTGATCGAAGCATTGAACAATAGGGACAATTCAACACCTGTGGGTCACTGAGCTCCTCAGATTCATTCCATAAAATACAGGGGAAGGAGGAGCGGAATATTTGGCTGAGGAACGCTCTTTAGCAACCATTCAACGTTTCGGCCGGGAGTGAGGGTAGGTAAATAGGACAGGTTTGTTTTCATTTCAAGGTCTAACATGTTTCGTGTGAACCGAAGGCAGAAAGAGATTTCCCGTTGTCGTTTCGAACCGATGTCAGAAGTTAAACAAATTTAAACGATATTATGTACTATTACCAGTGTTGCTCGTGATTTTATTGTTTCCTTTTCAAGGAGATTGCTCGCAACGCACCTTTGAAGCTATTATTCAGGAACGTCACAGACGGAACTGCTAAAGATTTTTTAGTTCGTCTGTTAGAACGAATACCGCAACAAAAGGACGTACAATAACTTGTATACAGGTGTTCAAAACGAAATAGGAAATAAATAAAAGTGTAACTAATATTTATTTTTTTAAGAAATACGCTACTTTAAAAGACATTTTAAAGCAATCTTCGGAACTTTGAGGCAATATATAATTCATTTTAACTTGTTCGCCTACACGAAAGAAACTACTACAAGACAGCGTTCGTTTATAGTTACGCACCAATATATGTTTAATGGGCTACCGTTTAGCCGGTGTAGTTTCATCTCGCCATTCAAACTTAATGCAAACATGGGATGCAAGCAATTTCGACGGTGCATCAAACAATGAACCTATCTTTTTCTTTAGAACGGCTCATTTAATACTATTTAGATGTGATATCATTCATCTCAGAAACTCAGTTGACATTATCACTCGGTTTCGGTTGTCTGCAGCGCAGCACGAAAAACATACTAAAGAATACGTCATGGTGAAGTACTCTATTGCAACATTTGTTAATATTGAGCCGACTAGCAGCGTTGCGGTGAAGCTAGCATACCGGTCCCGAAGACAAAGAGTCAAGCCAAAATGCTACTAATTTATCCAGTTGCCCGAGAATCCAACAAAAAATTAACCAATACTTATGTTTTTCGACTCCGCATCCTAATGTAAATCACCACAAAAATAAGAATTGAAAGAAAAATGAATGTTTAGAAGAAATCTACATCAAATATATCTAAAAATGTTAGGCTTTCTAAACTTTGACGCAAAAAAGGGCTTTCTTAGCTTAGGGATTTCCCACAACCTAAAGGCTCTCGCAAAAAAGTTCAGCGTGGACGTAGTTTTCTCTTCAGATTTCAAAATGAGCAGGTTGACGCCCTTTCTATCAGACCACAAGGGCTGTCAGAAGGCCCCACCGGGAACCTTCAGTTCCTTGCAAAGAGAGTGTAGTATATGAGATTCCGTTGTCATGTGGATTTAGGTACGTGGGACAAACTTCAAGATGCGTCAATGACAGGTTACTAGAACACAAGGGAAATGTACGCACGCATGCGCCGAACTCTGAAATAGCAAAGCACATAAAGGAATGCAATAATTGTAATGCGCATTGGTCAGAGACAGAAGTTCTGCATAAAGAGCGAAATGACATTAAGAGGGTCGTTAAAGAAACAATAAGAATAAGTTCTATTGGAAACTGCATAAGCCAAGCATCACTGCAACTTGGACGCAACTCCAAAAAGTTCCTCAGACTTTGAACGAACGCATTCGGTTCACGAGGGAAGGGGGGAGAGACAATGTATATGTGTATACACATCTATAATTTTTTTTTTTATGTGCTTGTAATCGCGGTTTTGAGATCACTTGCGTGTGTTTTCCAAGAAAAAGGTGTTCTCTTTGTGGTCTCTTTATGTCTGGGTGCGTCGCCACGGTTTAGAGGCCACCTGTGTGTGTGTTTTTTTTTTTTTTGTGTGTGCGCTTTGACGCGACTGTTAGGATAATTCGGGACATATCTCTCTCAAGGTCACTGCGATGTTCCGCAGTGTCCCATTGTTAAGTGATCGTCTCATGTGTGGGTTGTTTTGTATCTTTTGCGCGTGTTCCATCCGGTTCGAAATGTCTGCAACAAAGGAGTTTATCTGTAGAGGTGATTGGGAAAAAGTTCTGTGGGTACTTAAAGGCTGTTTGAGAAATAAACCAGTTAGCTGAGTTTGAGACGTTCTCTGTGTCTGTTCCTTCTACTGAAAGCTCTTCCAGTTTCTTTCACCGCAGTCTCAGGTGTAATACGACATGATTCTTAGCTAGTTGTGGCATGCAAAAAGCAAACAAAAAATTACCTGATATTTATGTCCGGTGTTTGTCATTGTTATGAGGAACGAGCACAAGTTACACGGAAATAAAAAAAACAGCTTTCAGAAAAGATATTTTAAAAATATAAAAAAGATTAGGTTTTTAACAAATTTGGAGCAGAATAGAATTAATTTCAAAGAAGTTTCCTACACGAGCAATATATCATCAAATAGTTCATGCATAAAGAGCTGATTTAATCGGGTCGCACGTTTGCGATTATGTAAACAAAAACCCATAAAAGATCGAAACTAGGCAGTACATTTGTATAAAATACTTCGTAAAGTTCTATATATGAAAAATATTAGCAGCCCAACTATGTTGAAAGCTCGTCAACGACCAAATTCGCAAAAAAAAAAAAAAAAAGAAATCGAGCTTTTAACGTAATCCACCAAGGGGCACTTCAAAATTATTGGTATAAAACTCTTAGGTATTAATTTTTTATGGTAATTTTTGTTTATTAAGGGAGTTAAGCCATCACATATATCCCTTTCGAAGACCCCACCCGAAAAGTTTGGTCGAATTCAAAAGAAAATCATCCATATGGTAAATATTTATCTTGTCTGAAAACTTCACCAACTTATGTTGTATGCACAAAAAACATTCGTCAATAAAAAAATTAAAAAAAAAGCTGCCAGAGAAAAAAAAGCATCGACCACCCACTCTTCTATTCAAAAGGGCGAAATTTGAAACTCTCCAAATATGACAATATTTGCTTTCATCACGGGAGACGACAGACTCTGGAGATCCAGAACCTAAATACAAACCAGAAAGAACGAGACTGTCACTTGGATTAAATATGCGCCTGACGTTTTCGCTCTGCTTTGCAGTTACGTTCTAGGCTAACAAACACGCGTTTTGAAAATGCTTGCATCTCTCTTCACAGTCCTGGTCGTTCTTCCTATGCCAGTTGCACCGGTGGGCTCCACAAGAAACAGTGTTCATCTTCTGCTTTCGAATGACATAGACGTCGACATTCTCTGCGCAAGTGGGGACATGGACAGCTTTTTCTTTCTGCGGAGAATCGGAACCATTTTCACAGCGAGCTACTGGTGCGGCTCTTGGTCAGTTTACCTGAAGCACCTCCGTGACAGCATTGGATATAGCAGAAAGGCGGTGGTTGTCATTCCAGAGTCCTTATGGGACGGCAGCCTTTCACGGTTACTCTCTTCCCACGACTTTTCCAGTTGGCTTTTTCTCTCTAAGACAAAATGTTTGTCGTGCGTTCGGGCTTTTGGGCACCCAAGCCAATATCTTTACACTCAACCCACGAATGTAGAAAGCCACGGCATCTTACAGAGCTCAGCGTGGAACTGCACCACCAGCAGCTACATTAACCTGAATAACACTTCAGCCATGCAGGAGCAAAGCTTCTCTGCTGCCCCAACCTGGCATTTGCTTAAAAATCAAAGTTTCATACTTGGTTGCTTGAAGCCTCTGTGTGCTGACAGGGACGTAAACATCATATTAGACATTTTGGAGTGGTTTGGTGT